AAAAAAAAAAAGCGGGTTTTAACACAAAATTTTTTTTAAGGGATAAAATTTCAAAAGCGTAAAATTTTTAAAAAGTTAAATTGGAAAGCTTTAAAATGTTAAAAGGCGAAATTTTTAAAAGTGTAAAATTTTAGTGCATTAAAACTTTAAAAGGCAAAATTTTAAAAAGTGTAAAATTTTAGTGCGTTAAAATTATGAAAGGCGTAATTTTAAAAGTGTAACATTTCAATGCTTTAAAATTTTAAAAGGCGAAATTTTGGAGATACGAAATTTAGGAACTATAAAATTTTGAAAGATAAAATTTTTGAAGATGCGAAATTCGAAAACTGTAAAATTTTAAAAGAGATAATTTTAAAATACAAGGTTTAAAACTGCTTGTCCTGGGGGCCTATGTCCCTGCCCCTGATGATCCAAAGGATGTGCTCGTGCCGTGGTGGATTGCCCTGCCAGTGCACAGATCTGGGTTAATTGTCCAGTGTTGCTGGGAAATATCCAAAAATTAAATGGGAAAGAGTGGATGTGTATCCTCCTAGGAGACAGAAAACATCAGTCTCAGTGTGGTTTTTGGCACGACACTGAACTTGGGCCGTTCTTCACAGTAACTGATTTTTTTAGAGTCGGTGCTAGTTGGCTGGTGTGCCTGAAATGCTTTAGCTTATGCTTTGTTGTCACCTGGTGAGCGGGGTTTTTATCCAGTTGAGTTCTGCTTTGTTCTGAGGGTTTGCTGTGTCGGTGATGAAGGGCAGCATAATAAAATATTTCATCGAAAACTGGTACTGTATTTTCAGTCGTGTACAGTGATTTTAAAACTTCTCATCCTGCTCCTAAGGTTATACAATACAGGAGTTTGGTATTAAACAAAGAAAAACAAATATATAGCCTGATTTTTTTTTTTTTTAAAGAATCACCTCAAGATGATTAAGGGCGGGGGCCAAGGAAAAAACTGAAGTAGGGACCATCTGTTTCACCAGAGCAGTAGTGTTTGGCTAAGAGAATATTTGAAATAGTAGCTTGCTCAGATTCCTGTTGTCGGTGTCTGTGTAAGTTCCTCTGGTGTTTACTCACTCTCTGACTCACTGGACGACATGTGCCTCGAAATTGTTATGGTACATCATCCTTCTGCGTGTGTCATCAGAGCTGTCTGCAGTCCAGGGCGTCCAGGTGAAATCTCAAGTAGGAGACTTACTGGACTGTAATGGACGTGCAAGGTGCTTGTTGACACCAAAATTTTACTTAGAATTGCTACTTCAGCTACAAGAGACTGTTTGTTTCGTTCTTGGGTATGATAAAGCTGCTTCTGAATCAGCTTTGAAAAACGTTCTAGTAGGATGACCTCAGCTTAGTGTGCTCAGGGTGCTATTTTGAGTTTATTTTCATGTGTTACGGTGCTGCTGGGCAACTCATATTTTCAACAAGGATTTGGCCTTTATTTTCTTATGCCTTTTTTCTGCTTGTAGCAGTACATGGTAATTCCATCACCCCCTGGCCATCCCAATGATGAAATCAGAAGCTAAGGATGGAGAAGAGGAAAGCCTGCAGACAGCGTTCAAAAAGCTGAGGGTTGACACAGCTGGGTAAGTAACACCACAGGGAGGCACAGAGTTAACAAACTACAAATGGACTCGAGGGGAGCACCCTTGCTGTGAAATTTGAGGGAATGAGGTATTTGCAAAAGGTTAGGCATGGAAAGCCTTCATTATATAGTTAAACAAACTGAAATGAATTCCCTACCTGTGGACTGCACTTCTCAAGGAATTGTGATTTGTTTGATTGCTGTCAGCTTGCAGCAGGGCTTGAAACAAACCTCACAACCATCGGCAGCTGACAGCATGCTTGAAATGAATTTTGGCAATTATCTGCCTGCCAGAGTTTACCAGTACCAGAGTCCATGGTGCCAGAACTCTGCTGATGAAGTTAGCCTGTTGTCATGGCTCTGAAGGCCTGTCATGAGAATCAACTCCCATCTTTTCCCAAGAGAGAAGCTTTCTTTCCATGTCAGTAAAAGAGTGCATGGGGTTCAGTGCATGATTCCCACACAAACTATTTTCACTGCTGTCACAGATTTTTCTATTTATAATCAAAATCGCTACATGGGAAAGAATGCTTCTCGTATTGTCTTGTTTTGTGGGAGATCTGACATGTGGCACTTACCCTCACTGAGCCAGGTGAGAGAACACAAACACCGTGTGTTTTCTGTCGGTGATGATCATTGCTGTGATCAGGAAGCTGTTGTCAGTGAGGCAATTATACAGCCACTGAAATGAAAGTGTAGGTAAGGCAGCACATGAAGATCCAGATGTTTACTAGAATTACCACAGAGCTGGGATTGTGAGTAGATGGCCTTCTAAAGTTATCTTTCTCGTTAGTAGTGAATTGCCTCTCCTTTCTTCATTATCTCTAGTCCCACCCCCTAGCTGGGCATACTTAGTTATTTCATAGTTTTTACTGGTGGCCTTCAATATTCTTCTCTGTGTTCACTATCCTTTAAATGGAAATTAGTTTGAATTCTCTTAACCCCATCCTAGATTAGTGTGTGGGGGACTTATTTTCGTTTCTCAGGTAGTCCACCCTGCTTACGAACTAATTTAATACAGCATTCGGAAAATAATTTTCTTGTGAATTCCAGTGCAATGTGTGAAGTCACAGCTTGGACAAACTGTTCTTATTACAAGTCATTCAAAATGGGAGTCTGGGATGAACTTACAGCACCAGAAAATTTAGTGACTCTTCTAAGGGCCCTGACTTGAGTAGAAGTTGAGGGTCTGACACGTCTGTGTTGCTCAAGTGATTCAACTTGCAGTAGCATGAGGAGTTCTAGCT